GTTGTTGATCGGCGTGGTGGGGCGCCCTCTTGTGGTTATTGGTTTTGAAAGGCAAAACAAATTTGTTGGCAAAAAAAGTGTGAAAATAATAGTTTGAGGGCAAGTAAAATATTTTATGAAGAGAAAATATGAAAATGGGATGTGAAAATGAGAGAAAAAGATAAAATTGAGAGAGAGATAATGAAAAAGCCTACGGCACGTGGTATTCCCAGCCGGTCTCCCATGCAAGTACTAACCACGCCCGACGCAGCTTAACTTCGGTGATCGGACGAGAACCGGTGCATTCTACGTGGTATGGCCGTAGGCATCTGTATTTCATATTTAAGTCACTATATAACTTCGTGTCTATTAGGGTTATTGTTGTTTTGTTCTATATGTTATGTGGAGAATTTCTAAATATGGCGTGTATAAAACTGAAACGGATTAATGATGGTAAAATACCACAAACAGGTCAACATCTTTTCTAGTGACTACTATACAGTCATTGTGTCGGAAATTTGTACTCTGACCCTCGTTTCATTTGCATATTGCTTCATGTTTAAATATTAGATGTCGTGTGCCCTGGACTTAAAAACTCGTACGCATGACTAATAAATACATGTGTAGCGAACCCTCTTAATTTAGTTGGTTTGTTTTGTTTTGTTGTATTTGTGTGGGGCGGTACATTTTAGTGGGTACCGTAGTTCGATGCATTAACGCACCGAGAATACTATAGATCTATTAATATAACTCCTATTTCAATCCTTCATTCACGGCTAATATTTATTAGTAGCGAATCTCCTTAATTTAGATAGTTTATCTGTGTGTGAGAGGGGCAGATATATTTGTAGATATAACTACCATAGATTTCAACTAGGCCTGACGTAAATATATTTATCACAGTTCATAATAGTTAACTCGTCTTCACGAATATATAATTATCATAGTTCGTAATAGTTAACTAGGCTCCATGAATATAAAATTAAATAATAGTTTATCGGATAGAGCATGGAGGTAAAAAGACATGGATGGAGGGACTGTGGATCTACGAACTCCTGAAACAACGTCCAGTTGTTTATTCCATCAATATTTTGAGCACACCAAGAAAGCGAATACAGACGTTATGGCTGACGGTTACTGCCGAGAATGTTGTAGTGAGAACACTTTCTTCACTGCCAGTACTAGTACCCACCGATCAGAAAAGTCTCACTCAGGGCGTCCGGAACAACCGAACATCTATTCAGTCACATTAGCCCAACAAGATAAGAATGAATGAATGAATGAATGAATGAATGAATGAATGAATGAATGAATGAATGAATGAACATTGCGTTTGACCATGTTCACAACAAGATTTTCCAGTTGGTAATTTTCAAATTATAGTTGCGATATTCGCTAAATAAAATTGTGTGACCATTACTATTATGTGAATTTGAAATCCTCTTTATATTCTCAAACTGATCAGTACACATCTCAGATGACCGAGAAGGGCATGCACGTACCAAGTAGTTGGAACCCTGGTGAAAATTCGTTCTTCGATGAATGTAATTGATCCAATCTGTGCACACACACTTAATCACACTTCATATGCTAGCTTTGCAGATATAAAAGTGTTATACCTGACCAATCTTTCAATACATTTCCTGCCTAATTTAGCTGATGACGGTAAAATGCTTGTTGTGAAAATGTATCAATGGTAATGTGCACTGGATCACTCGTAATGCCTCTCCATACACCATTTTTTTTTTTGAGTGGTTCTTATATGAA